TCAAACAACGATGGGTGCAAAAAGGGTAGATTTCTGGAAACTCAAGAAGCTTGAGTGAATTTTTCACAGATAATGGGATCCATCTTCAAAAATTTATTATTTGTTGCTAGCCAGATGTCTGTTGAAGCAAATATCAAAATGCCATTTTTGTTTTGTTTTGTTTTGTTTGAGATGGAGTCTCGCTCTGTTGCCCAGGCTGGATTGCAGTGGTGCAATCTCGGCTCACCATAGCCTCTGCCTCCCGGATTCAAGCAATTCTCCTGCCTCAGTCTCCGAGTAGCTAGAACTACAGGTGTGCGCCAACATGCCAACATGCCATTTTAAAATCTGGGTAAATGTTGGGTATCTCTTATCCGAAATGCTTGGAACCAGAAATGTTTCAGATTTTGTATTTTTTTTCACATTTTGGAATATTTGCGTTATAACTACTGACTGAGAATCCCTAATCCCAAAACCCAAAATGCTCAAATTTGAGCGTCATGTCAGTGCTCAAAAAGTACTGGGTTTTGGAGCATTTTAGATGTCTAATTTTCAGATTAGGAATGTTCAACCTGTACATGTTTATATCTTCATTAGCAGCGAATCATGACCTAAATATCTAGTAACAAAACAAATCAAGAAACAAAACCAAGACATTTAACCTAAGCCTGTGACCATCAAATTTCATCAGAGTCTCCCCAGACTCTCCAACTGTAAATACAAAAGATATCTGCTATATTCAGATCAAAGTAGAGAAAAATTACACATGGACAAGACCCTGTTCCACATGCCATTTTACAAATCTTGAAAGACTATCTCCTTTCTGATGTGGGGATGGGAGCAGGAGGGAGTGGGGAGTGGAGGGACCTCCCAGTGCTTTTCTTTTTTCTCTGCCTGAGCCCTCTCTCCCCATGTGCACAATGTACCTCATGCACACCTCCATCACACTACAGCCTTTTTACTACTGGAGGACAGTAGGCCTGCATTAGCAAACCTCAGGACAAGCTCTGAGGCAAGCTGCTGCCAAGACAGCAGAGCCTGGCTCTTTAAAGTCGAGGACCCAGGAACTTTCATCTGTTCATTTAAACACTCCTGGCATATAACCGAATTTTAAAAACTATATGTTTACATTTCGTTATTCATTTATTGATACTCGCTGTGTCATTTCCCTCCAAGCTTTATGGCTCTCAAGAGTAGACGCTAGCTCCCCATAAAAACTGACGAACTAATTCATACAATAAGCATTTAATGGCAATAAAAAACCAGCAACCTGTTTAATACTAAAGAATGGCATTCTTTTCTTAAAATTATGGACATAGCAAGAATAGAAGATGAAACATAGTAGATTACTCACTGTGAATAATTAGCTACCTTTCAATATTTTTAAGTAGAGAATGCTGAGCTTGAATGAACTTTGATAATTTATATAACATCAAATCTTAATAGGGCCACATATTCGGAGACTGATTTATTTTAATCTTCACTGATAATGAGGTAATAAATACCTTGCACTCAAGCTGTATTTATCTCAGGTTGCTAATCTGTACATGTGGTTAAAAGTAAATAAACAGAGAACAAAAGAACGCAGATAATCTTTCTCATTTCATCTTTTCCTACCACTGTTCCTAAGTCTATAATTTATCTAAAATCTCTTACGAAGTTTTTAAAGCCAGACTTTAAACATTGTGCTCCAGAAATTTTCCAAAGTTATTAATTTTATTAATAGTAAATTTCCCTTTGGGAAGCCGAGGCGGGTGGATCATGAGGTCAAGAGATCCAGACCATCCTGGTCAACATGGTGAAACGCCATCTCTACTAAAAATACAAAAAATTAGCTGGGCATGGTGGCGCGTGCCTGTAAGCCCAGCTACTCAGGAGCCTGAGGCAAGAGAATTGCCTGAACCCAGGAGGCGGAGGTTGCGGTGAGCCGAGATCGCGGCATTGCACTCCAGCCTGGGTAACAAGAGCGAAACTCTGTCTCAGTTAAAAAAAAAAAAAAAAAAAGTAAATTCCTTTGATGAACCATTTTAGAGCATTAAAACAATTATGAAAGCACTTATCTTTGCAAAATAAAATTCAAGTTTAGGCAAAACCAGTGGGGCTAGATGATATTTCATATATATGTACTGCATACTCAAAAAGAAAAGCAAAAATATCTGTAAACAGATGTTCAATTTTTCAAGGGGAGAAAAGTCCAGTCCTGATCTGGAACTTGAAAATACATGAACTAGGGAGTGAAGCACAGTTTCCTGGAGAGTGATCAAAACAGTCGAGCCTGAATATTCAAACTTGCACATACCTTCATGAAAGCGTTTTCTACAAGCCAGACCATGTAGTGCTCTGTTGCTTAGAAGCTGGGTAGAGAAATGCTAACCAGGCACTGCCTTGGGGATTTGTCCTGGGAACGGTGCCATTTAACATTCTTATTAATTATTTGGTGGAGGAAGGTGAGCTATAAGTAGAGAAGTTCCTGGTCACAGTTTACTAAAGAGAAATCACCAGGAACTAAAGAGATCTGGAAGAAACTTTGGTTGGATTTAGGTACATTCAGGGATCAATATTATGACAGCAACAAAGCTCACAGCACAACTCCAAGGCTATTTACAAATGAGCCAAACGAATGCCATTCTTCTCATTTAAGACTGAAGTCACTAGAGATAGAGGCTACTCAGGCTAAATAAAAAGGAAACCCAACAATGCCCTCATTTCTGGATAGTCCAATAGCAAGGCTGTGAGACACAAGATACTATAAGATACATGAGATAATCTAAGCATTACAAAAGACTAAAGGAACAAAAAATAGGGCCATGATCTGAAATGTTTGCACAGTTCTGTTCTGAACACCAAATCTATGGTGAACCTATGGATAGCTATTCCTTCTCTCTCCAAACAGAAATTATCTGCCCTATTTAATTCCCATAAAACAATTTTTGGTTTGTCTCCTCAGTATTTTTCACACTGTGATTTGTACAAGAGATGCAGGCACAAATTCTTTGAGAGCTAGGACCCTACCTTTGTACTCTGCACTTCTGCCAGAATAACAAATTCCCAATAAATAAATCATTGTTAAAGGCAGTGTAGTGTAGCAGTTACGAATATGAGCTTCAAGGCTTCAGACTGTCCAATTTTAAATCCTGGTTCTACTGCTAATTAACTTGGAGATTGTGGGCAAGTTTCTAATCATTGTGCTTCTGTTTTTCTAGAGTAAGCTGAATGATTATTGGAAAAATTAAATGATGACCATGATCTGAAATGTTTGCACAGTTCTGTTCTGAACACTTTAGTGGTCTCAGAACAGTACCTGGCATTATAGTTAAGTGTTTAATAAATGTCATTAGCATTCATAGTGGTACTATATTAAAGACTAAATCACTTCATAAGTGACTGATATATAAGATAAAATTATCATAAAAATTAGAGGGGTTTTAATGCTAGATTTTCTTTGAATCAATCACAGAATTTCTCCCAAATTTAAGTCTTCTGCAGTTAGATAAAATATAGGCAATCCAGTTCAATTAAATTTCAGATAAATAACAAATACCTCTTTGGTATACTATTGTCCCAAATACTGTATGGTAGGAGAAATCTGGTAGGAGCAGCATCTGGTAGAATTAAGAAGTTTGATTTGTTGTTCTAAGAAAAAAAATCTCCAAATTTTACAAGTTACTCCTTCTTCTTTGAAGAACTACTTTCCTTCTTTATGACCTTTAGGATGCCCTCCTTGCCATATATTTACTTTTTAACATCAACAATAGATTGGGCTAGGTGCAGTGGCTCATGCCTGTAATCCCAGCACGTTGGGAGGCTGAGGTGGGTGGATCACATAAGGTCAGGGGTTCGAGACTATCCTGGCCAATGTGGTAAAACACTGTTTCTACTAGAAATATAAAAATTAGCCAAGCATGGTAGTGCACTCCTATAATCCCAGCTACTCAGAAGGCTAAGCCAGAGAATTGCTTGAACCTGGGAAGTAGAGGTTGCAGTGAGCTGAGATCATACCACTGCACTCCAGCCTGGGTGACAAAGTGAGGCTCCATCTCAAAAACAAAAACAAACCACAATAAATTGAAGTAAAAATGATAACTTTAAACTAGATACAGGAATACTCTTCCTATATTTTCTACTTGACCAAGTATACCTTGCTCATCTGCTCGCAGAACCTAAGCTCAGAAGAGCCCAGTTGGATGCTACCCCAGTTCTGATCAATCAAACCATTTAGCACTTCTTCGAAGGCTATATATAGGTCCTCTCTCCACCCAGCTTGAACTAAACAGAACAAACAAATGTGTTCAAAAAACAAATTGGTTTTGATTTCTTACAATGGTTTTAAAAAGGCAGTGGCAAAATTGCCCATGTCGACAGGGGTTTATTTGGATCAAATTAATACTGGTGGTTTAAACATGCTAAAGTGTTTCTAAGAAGGTATGGGTTCCTGGAAGACAGATTTGCGTATCTGCAAGTAGGTAAGTTTCTGCAGAGACCAGAACATCTTAGGCATGGTTATTAGTCCATTTTCACACTGCTGAAAAAGATACGCCTAGACTGGGTAATTTATAGAAAAAAAGATTTTTAATGGACTCACAGTTCCACATGGCCAGGGAGGCCATACAATCATGATGAAGGCAAAAAGCACATCTTACATGGCAGCAGACAAGAGAGAATGAGAGCCAAGCAAAAGGGGTTTCCCCTTATAAAACCATCAGATTTCGTGAGATGGACGCACTACCACGAGAACAGTTTGGGGGAAACCACCCTCATGATTCAATTATCTCCCACTGGGTCCCTCCCACAACACATGAGAATTATGGGAGCAACAATTCAAGATGAGATCTGGGTTGGGGCACAGCCAAACCATACCAGCATGTATTTGATTGTATTTATGATATCTTATAAAGAGACAGCAAGAGACAGCATACTATACATTCAAAAAAAGTAGATCTGGTTTTATAGCTAGATAACAAATATATACTCTCAGCAGCCAGTAAACCAAGAAAACAAGCTCACAGAGAATGCCATCTTACCCCTCAATACGGATTTGAGGTTGAGCTTGGCTTGGCGGTGCAGGTCCTCAACACAGGGGGGTCTTGTGGTGGGAAGAAACACATTCTCCTGCTGGTGCCATGGGGCAGTGTAGTGGACTGTCCATCGGCTCTCCTCATCTAGATTGGAAACCGCTATAGGAAACAAGAGAATACATTCAGGTGTCAACTTAGGCTTCATTGGCTACAAATTTATTACATCATGATGTGTTTCCATGCCTAACACATCCACGGGTAAGGGCCAGCAAGGGAGAAATGGAGCAAATTCTAAATTAGATTTAATCTTCGATTCCAGGGGTCTTACTCCCAGTGTTTTATTTATAAAGCAAAAGCTGAAAGTGTCCACCCTCCAAACAATGTCTTCACAGAATCATTTGCTCAGTTAACTGCTTCCCAGCAATTTAGGTCCTCCCTTTACTCCACTGTTTGAAAACAATTGACAAAACTGATAGAGACCTCCAATTCCTACTTAACCCCCCTCCCACACACACAACAAATACCAGTTCCTCAACTGTATAGTGCCACTGCAACAGTAAATGTTTGATTGTCCTGACAGAAATGAATTTCCTGCCAGGTTTATAACAAATGTTCCCCCTTCTACAGCACTAAAGAGCATCACTGTTACAGACTCAATTACATTTTTAAAAAATTAAGCATAGACATTCCATTTACATGTAAATGTCATATCTAATAGATGTGGGGATCCGTTTGTGTTACAAAATTTTCTCTGCATTTCTTGCTTTCATGAAACCCTTTTATATTAACTTTTTAAAAATTACAATGCAATTGACTCTTCCCAACACAATCCAATTCAACTAAATTCTCCCAGCACAGAAGGGACCAAAACATTAGAGGAAAAAATAATAGGTAATCCCGAGACTTAGATAAATCTCTACAATAATATTCCTTTAACTCCCCTGAGGCTTGGGACCCCTCTAGTTCATTTTTCCTGACAATACAAACTAAGCTGGGGCATCAGTGGAGCCCAAAATGAGGCTGACAGCACCAAGACAAATTCATCAACAATTTTTTAGTACTTTCTATATATCTGCCACGTAAGCCAGGCAATGGAGAGACTAGAGAGGCAATTGAGAAAGTCTCTGTGTTGAGGGATTTGCTTGAGGTAGCAAGTCTAACCCACCCCTGTAAAGCCAGCAGATAATTGAATTGTGAGTGAGGAGCAAGTCTTCCTGATTCTGATCTATGCTACAGAGTTCACACTGGGCGTATCCATGTCCCCAACATAACATGTACCCGGAAACTAGACCATAAAATGAATTTTCATAGTCATGTGAGAAAGCATGCATAAACTATTAAATCCATTTGAGCGTATCTAAAGTTAACTAAACATACTCTATAGCACAGTTATTAGGGCTACTCTAAAGATCAAATGAACCAATATATATAAAGTATTTAGCTCAAGAAATGACTCAGGTAAAACATGGTTGTGGCAGGAACAGTAAAAATTATTCTAACAAGGCCCCAAACATCAAACCGTCACTGTCTCTTGTAAACCTAGGCCACAGGTTAGCTCTCATCTCACATACCGTCTTTTCTATAGCTACTACATTTTACCATCTTATGAATATGAACAGGATAACTCATTTTCAAAAGGATTCCACTTCTCTGTAAGTTGCTAAATGAGGAAATAAACATTGATAACTAGATGCCAAGTTAAAAACGGAAGTGTCCACTGTGCTTTCTGCTTAGTGTTTGACAGAAGTGGTGTGTGACTCACACCTAGTGTTTCACACAAACTCTTGTTGAGCAAATGTTTTGCACAGTGCATACAACTATCAGTCTTAATACACAAAATCCACAAAGACCTGACTCAACCCTCATTTGTGTTTCAGAAGGATCTAGCACTGGGCCAGCCTCACCATATGTCCCCGCAAAGTGCAGCCAAAGTTCACCACAATGTTTTGTGCTGATGCCCATTTATTTTAAAGATTGAGTTACCACACTTCAGAGTTAGAAACTATTGAAAATGTAAACTTTTCCTATTTGCCAATTACAAATCAAATCCAAGTAATGGCATTCGTATCTGTACCATCAATTGGCACAGCTACCAACCGGCTCCTGTGAAATCCCCACTGGAGTTCAGCCCCATTGCACAGCTACCAGCTGGCTCCTGTGAAAGAGTCTCTTTCCCTGGAGTTCCTCATTCTCACCAGGGCCACATTTAATCCGTCCATCCAAAGGCAGCCTTCGGCAAGGGCTGCAGAAAACCAGCGCACAGCGCTGCTCTTTGTAGCTTTCTCCAAAGCTCCTCTTCCCAGTGCCCCTACCCATACACATTTATCCAGTTTAAGTCATTGGTCCAAAAACTAAACTAAAATAAACCACGAACTATGTAAAAACAAAGCCAAGCAGTTATAAAAATTATTATTTTCAAGAGAATGAAGAAGTACCTAGATAAGAAATGTAAATCAACGGTAAGTATACAACAAAGCCACACCAAAAAAGCTCTATACCTAACAACGATCACCTATCAGTCTAGACAGTTTGTGTTCAAGCTCTTAAATCCATAACAAAGAGTGCCGGGGAGTTTTAGGGGATTATCTCCACCAGAAATATGTGATACATTACACAGAGGCTCCCTTGCCTCAGTTGCATATTTAGCCAAAGAATCAAAAAATCATACACTAGATATCAAGGGAAACATAAATTAAGTACAAGAATTCTTTCCCCTGTTCAAAGGACGTCTTTTGAAAAGCACAAAAGAAATGAATTCACTTAAAACCTCAATCATAAATAAATAAGACATACTAAGATCGCATAACACTGTCCTAGAGTTACAAAAGTCTGAGGTATTTAAAGAACCAGGTATAGTGTAGAGTTTAACTCATGCCTATTATGCTGTTTCACACTCTAATTTCATCACACAAAAGAACAAAGTAGGACCTAAAACACACACAGACACATATACACACAGACACACGGGGACAAATACACATACGGGAACATATGCACACAATAGGTAGTACAGGGAAAAAGAACTACTTACTTTTCTTCTTAAAAAGTTTAATGAAAGACTTAATCTTTGCATTAATGAAGACCACCATTTCCAGGGTGCCTACATAGAGCTTAAAAATGTAAATCACATTAAAAGCTCAGTCCGGTAGGCAGGTGGCAAGCTTCGTCCTTCTGCTCCAGATTCTAACTTTTATTCCCCCGGTCTCATATCCTCAGACATCTGCCCAGGCTGATGTAACTCTGAGCTTGAGCTTATTGTCAGGCAGTTACAAACCATTAACAGTCCTTGAACCTGAAAAACTCCTACTGAAACCTAATCTTTAAGGCTGAGAGCAGCCAGTGACATCGTGCGTGTGTAGAAAGAGAAAGCCAATCACAGTTCTTATTTGCATGACAGCCACATCAGGCTTTCTGCCTCAGTGCCCATTCATTCAGTTTTTTCTCCAACAGATCAGAAGGTCCCCTTCTATGAGTCCACAAAAATCGTGCAGAGTTTCCTCTATGGAAGTCAAGATGAAACAAATGCATTCCCCATTTCACTAGGCCACTATGAACATCCAGATCCCTTAGAGGAACTGCCAAGTCTGAGGGCAATTCTAGTTAATTCAGGGTGTATGGGATTTGAACTGATTTATGGGAAAAAAAGACAAATTATTGTTTCCCAACCATGCCCCAGGCTCTGCCTCCCATACCAAAGGAACTTGTATAAGCAGTAAAACTTTAGAATGGAATCTCTCCAAGGAGCTGCAAATAATGACTTGGTTGCATTTTTGTGCAAATGAGGATGCCCTGTCTTCTCACCCTTCTTTGCTAGTGATTGAGAATCAGCATTATATGTTCCAAAGCGTGATCTTATTTGCATCTAGCTGCCACAACAATCAAGAAAAAAAATTAAAAACCACCAATAAAATACAACTTCCCCACTCCAAATGAGAAATTAGATAAAGTACCTTAATCACTTTAATGTTTATTTTAAATGCAATTGTCACCTAAGCTCCTGGTTTTCAGAATTCCATAATCGCCCTTCCCTCACAGAAGTCTCAAACAAACATTATCTGAGTTACTCTTTAACTTAAATATACCATCCGGAGTTCTGTTTTTTTGCCCGTTTGCAGTTAACCACAGAGAACCAGGGAAGCACAAGCAGAAATGGAGAAATCAGAAATAGGGCAAAAGAATGCACTGGAAAAACATATTCCAGGGATAAAGGGATAGGAAAAAAGGAGACTATAGATCAGGAAACACTATGAGAAGGGAAAAAGGAAAAGAACCTTCCTCACATCTCAGCCCAGTTCTACTTCATGGCCAAACATTTTTGAAACGATTTAGACAACCTCTTATTTCATAGCTTTGGGCCAGACTTATAACTCAATGGAAAAATGTAATAATCCACTAATTCAAAACATTTAGTTTATAATAAAGGCTCTTAGTCAAAGAATAAAATTTATATAAGGGGCTCTGTCTAGCGAAGGCTTTGAAATGATTCCTTCTCAAGTCTTTTTATGCCCTTTATTTTTCAACAACAACAAAACAAAAAACAAATAGAAACGTTACTACTTATCATACATATTATCACAGATTTCCAACTTGTGTTCTTCCATTCTATATAGCTTTATTTTGAAGAAATTAAATTGCCAGATGGCAAATGAGAAACGACTGAGCCTGTAAGTCAGATTATGTGGCTGCCTTAAATTAGCAGGCAAAGTTCCCCTTTGGAAAACAAATTAATCTGCAAGAGTGACCTCCCTTTGCTCATTGCATTAGACACAAGGAGAGTCGTGGGCAAAAACACTCATATGCACAACCCACAGGTGTTTGAGGTTAAGTGTTACCATGCAAATGTCCAGTTGAAAACAAAAATTGTTCTTTCGAGAAACCCTGATTATGTTCAATCCTCCATAACCTGTAGCTTTCCAAGTGCCCAACGATGGCATGTGAATATAGATTCACTAACCAAACACATAAATACTGAGCACCGATGCTAACCGCCACTCTTTCATTTAGTTGTGATACATCATTGGACAACATAGGTGAGATCCCTGCCCTGATGGAACTTAAAATATTTGACACTAAACTATAATTTTATGGTAGATTAGAAGGAGACGAGTGCAATAGACAAAATTAAAAAATTCAGCAAGAGAAAAGAGGGTTTGAGGGTG